TTTGCTAGCAAGTTCGCCCAGCGAACTTGCTGTTGTTTGCATGCTGACTTGGTTTCTTTATCCTTTTTCTTGTGTCTTAATATTCACTTTTTCATGCCTAATTCCTGCACAATAACACACAAATCAAAGGAACCAAGATATTTTCACAATATGTTGCAAACCAACCAAAGTAAGAGTGATTTCTAACACTTTCTTTACAAAAAGGAGTGAAAGATGCCCACATTTGATAGATCAAATAAGCAAATTTGGGCATCTAACAACTCTCCCCAACTAGATTCTTGTTTGCCCTCAAGCAAAGTATGCCTCTTGATGAAACAAGAGGATTTGCTCCAGAAAAAGATTTCTCCGAAATTGGATTAAATGGCTCAAACACAAGGAATGCAACCAGACACAGGTTCCCAATGGTTAGAATCAAACAACACACAAGAACTAAAGTCTTAAAGAAATTTAAAACATAAATCAATCAACAACAATGTTATCTTGAATGAATCACCCTATCTCTCCTCTTCGAATAAAGATTGAAGAAATTACGCGTTTGCAACCGCGGGGACAATTTCACTCAACTAACAAATAATGCCAAAATCAATTCAATTCATACAATATCTAACAATTATAGATGAAAATATAGAAGAAAGAAGATCACTAAGGTATTTTCCGGTTGTAGCTTGGTCGGGTTTACAAACAAGGGACATATCTTAGGTCATTGAAAGAAAATTGCCGATGCAAAAGAGGCATTTACTGCACAAGTTATTTACACATCACAACTTCCTTCCCCTTGTTTCTCATTTGAAAACCTTCTCAACTCTTAGCTCACAACTTATTCTTTTTTTTTCTTTTCTAAGCAAACATTCTCTTTTTTTTTTCTTTTTTACAATCATATTCACATAACAATTTTTTTCTCAATGCTTGCTTGATTTTTCAAGAGTTGTAGCAACCTACCATACTTCTTTTTCGTTCTCCCCAACTTAGCTTTTACTCAACCCTCAAGTGAATGCTCTTGACTTTTTAAGGCAAAGAGAACAATTAACAAAAAATTCAAGGGTTCAAAAAAAAGTTTTTGGAATCTCGCACAATTTCAGGCTGAAATTCACACTGTTTAGACTCAAGGGGTTCAAGAATACTCTCTGCTCACGGGTAAGTTGCATTTGGAACTGGTTGTACTCGATAAAAAATAAGTGCCTTGATCATTTCTAATTGCTTCCACACATTCACAATAATAAAAGATAAAGCATGAATTAAATGAGTCAACAAATTTTATTAGAATCCAAAATTTAGTGTACAATGGAGGTTTCCTCACAATTTGTGGTTCTAAGTCCTAAGTGAAACCTTCATTCAACAATGTTGCCAAAAGAATAATATTCATTCACAACAAGATTAAAGTTCTTAATGCATTCTAAACTTCTAACCAAAGGTAACCATGTACCTTGACATTATTCGCTTGTTTAATTATTATCATCGTCATCTAAACTCGGATGCATCTTCATTGGATACTTCTTTCCAGAGGGTTACTGCTACACATTTTCTTGTATCCACATCAGGTTCTACCTTTTAAATTTTTGGTCTTGTGTGTTGGTGATAACCATAAAAGATGGCTTGGGTTAGCTGGTCTGTAATTTGTAAGTCAAATGATCAAGGTGGTATTTGAGTTAAGGATCTATTTATTTCTAATTGAGTCCTTTTGTCAAAATGGATATGGAGGTTGATTCAAGAAAAGGATACAGTTTGGAAGTAGCTACTGACATACAAATATGGTGACGTTGCCTGCAAATTAATTTCAATTTATGACACTAACAAAAGCAGGTTTTTATCTTTGTGGTGGAAGGACATTCATAATATGATAGTAATATGATTTTTTTTAATCCAAAGTATTAAGTTTCCGTTTGTTGAGATATTTTTATGCTACATATAAAAATTATTTTGTTGATTTCAAAATGGTTAATGTCTAAGTGCACATATGCACAATAATAAATATGACTATCTTGTTAACGAATTCATGCATGAGGTTAATTCTTTGACAGTATGTATGTTGATTCGATGCATGAAGTCCTATTCCTAAGAAAGAAAACACACAATCTGGAATTTTTAAATATATAACTTTTCAAAAAGAAACAATAATAACAAATATCATCTTAAACGAAGTAGAAATATAACCCTATAACTATTAATATGTATTGTGAATGAATACTCTCATCTTTCATTTATACCTCACTCAAAGTCCTTCCATCTGGAGTTAGCAGTCTTCATCCTTTGACTTCTTCGTTTATCTTCCGTTTTTGAAATTACAATTGAATTGTTCTGTTTTCCACTTTTTTCAATTTCTTCTGGCTCATTAGTATCGAGGATGAAGTATAACTTGCCATTAACCCTAAATGACCAAATGTCGATTTTTTGATAATCCTTAAAATTATTCTTTGATAAAACATCTGTCCAATCTTGAACAAGATTATAAGTAATACAACTGGTCATATTCCACTTCTTTAGAGATAATGAGAATTCATTAAAATCAGAATCTAACACAACCACCTTTAAACAAGACGGTTTTCCCTCTTGATCTCTTGTTTCTAAGGTTGCCTTTTCTATTTCAGTTAAAAAATCAGATTTAATTTGGGAAATTGGCATGGAAAGACGATTGTGGTAAGAGCTGAGATCGGTGCTGAACAATGTTTTACACATGATATATTTAATATCAGTGCCATCCAAAACATTGATCAAGTTATTAATATGATTAGGCAACTCCGGTGGTGGTGATGATAAAATTTCTTTCTTATGATTGTTTGGTTTCTTCTTAACTACGAGCTTTGGTTTCACTCTTCTTTCTCCATTAAACATGTTACCACCTTCGTTACTTGAGCGACACCTTTTTAAGTTACTGACTTCCACTCCTTCCACTTTGCTTTGTGAAATAAGAGGTAGATTTGTTTGTTGACACAAAATTTGGGTGACTTTTTCTATCTCTGTTAACTCATCTTTACTATAAAATTGTGGAGAAATTTGAGACAACACTCTATGCAAAGTAAAATGAGGTAATAGATCAAATATCTTTTTCACCATCTCCAATTTTTGCATATATCCATTGATCTTCTCAATAGCCATAACTCTTTTTTTCATCACAACTTCTTCTGAATTTTGTAACAATCACTATGCCAAAACAGACCTTTAGCAGCGCTTTTTTTGACCTTTAGCAGCGCTTTAAAGCGCTGCCTAAAGTGGCGCTGCTAAAGGTAAAGGCAGCGCTTTTTTTGTGGAAAAAGCACTGCTAAAGACATCACCTTTAGCAGCGCTTTTTAAAGCGCTGCGTAATCTCCCCCCCCCCCCCCTCCCCCCCTTTAGCAGCGCTTTATGGAAGCGCTGTCTTAGACCCCCCCTATAGCAGCGCTTTATGGAAGCGCTGTCTTAGACCCCTCTTTCCCCACCTATAGCAGCGCTTTTTTAGCAGTTTCTCTGTCCCCTTTAGCAGCGCTTATACATAAAAGCGCTGTCTAATGTGCACGTTTTGAAAAAAAATTTCCTGATTAATGGCATTTTTTATATATTTTTCAATAAACCTGCTTATATTACAATACCTGCTTATATAATTTAGCCCTTTATTTCAGCACTTTGGCTTTATATACACAATTCAACACTTTGGCATTATGTGCACAATTCAACACTTTGGCATTATATGCACAATTCAACATCACAAATTATATACAATTCCACTTTAATATATATAATTCAAAAGCTTCACAATTCAACATCACAAATTATATACAATTCCACTTTAATATATATAATTCAAAAGCTTCACAATTCAACATCACAAATTATATACAATTCCACTTTAATATATATATAATTCAAAAGCTTCACAATTCAACATCACAAATTATATACAATTCTCAACTCGAAATTCAACATCACAAATTATACAATTCTACTTTAATTTCTTCCAATCTTCATTGCTGGCCATAATATACTTGTAATTCAGGAAAACTAAAGTATCAAATGAATGACATTCAAATATGTAAATAAGAAATATATATATATATATATATATATATATATATATATATATATATATATATATATATATATATATATATATATATATATATATATATATATATATATATATATATATATATATATATATATATATATATATATATATATATATATATATATATATATATATATATATATATATATATATATATATATATATATATACACACACACATAAGAAACGTATAAATAAGAAATAATATGTTATTTTATTGAATGAGACAATATGTAATTTTACAAGTACCTTTAACATCTTTTTCTTTTTTTAGTTGGAAGGTGCTTTACTTGTCTCTTAACAACACGGACGGATGGATTGATCCAAATTCCCTCGCTATGATCATTTCTAATATATGATTCGTCTGCTATAATATTCTCATCTGGATCATCCCTAACATAAGATTCATTCTCAACATCAACCTCCCCCTTTTCTCCAATGTTATCGTTGATTACTTTGTTGGAAAAAAGAACTATAGACCATTTCGTACTTTTCGGATCAGTGACATAGAACACTTGTTTAGCTTGCGTGGCTAGAATAAAAGGCTCATCTTTGTACCCCACCTTATTAAGATCCACTTGCAAAAAACCTGACTTATCCATACGTATGCCACTATTACTTTCAACCCACTTGCATCCAAAGATAGGAATCTGAAACTTCTCATAATCAAACACCCAAATGCGCTCGATTACCCCAAAATACGAGGAAATGTGCATTGATTCGGCAAGCACAGTGACACAACTATTTTGCATTGTACTTTTATCATCTTGCTCCTTGGTATAAAATGTGTATCCATTAATTGCGTATGCGCTATAAGAAAACACATGCAAAGTTGGACCATATGCTAAACATCTCAACCTTTCTGTTATTGAAGCAGGATCAGAATAAAACTTTGAATAAATATGCTCTTTGAACCATGTTATAAAACTTCGATTGTGCTCACGTACTATCCAATTTTCATTTCTATTCAGATTTAAACCTCGGAGAACGTCCTTGTGCAATTTAACGTACTGCTCAACCTCAATGTCATTGTGCAGAACATATAAATGCACTTGCTCCCGTTCATCCCTTGAAACTGTCACAACTTTATTTCCAATTAACTGTTTACCTACTACTTTTTCAACAACATCAGATTTTGGGAGACCAATGGATTGAACGTTGGACAAATATTCAGTACAAAACTCAATAGCTTCTTCAACAATGTATCGTTCAACAATACATCCCTCTGGTCGACTTCGGTTTTTCACATACCCTTTCAATATTTTCATATAACGTTCAACTGGATACATCCATCTCATATATGCAGGTCCACACAGTTGTGTCTCTTTCACGAGATGCACAACTAGATGTACCATTATGTCAAAGAATGACGGAGGAAAATACATTTCAAGCTCACACAAAGTAATAATTATATCTTTTTGCAATGTTGGTAAGATCGCAGGATCGATCACCTTACTACAAATAGATCTGAAAAAGAAACACAATTTTGTTATTGCGCCTCTCACTTTTTCTGGCAAAATAGAACGTATACCTATTGGTAGAAAGTGTTCCATAAGAACATGGCAATCATGTGTCTTTAAACTCTTTAACTTTAGGTCTTTCATAGAAACAAGTCTTCTAATATCTGAAGAGTATCCTTCTGGAACTTTAACTTCACTAAGAAACTTACACATTATCTTTTTCTCCTTTCTAGACAAAGTATATGCAGCAGGTGGTAGATAAGTGCGATTTCCTTTCTTCTGGGGTCCTAATTCATTTCTTATTCCCATTGCTACCAAGTCTTTTCTTGCTTTAAGGCCATCCTTAGACTTTCCTTGTATATTGAGTAACGTACCAATAACACTTTCAAATACATTTTTTTCAATATGCATAACATCAAGAAAATGTCGTACATACAACGACTTCCAATACGGCAACTCAAACAAAATTGACCTCTTCTTCCACCCACGCGTGGTAAGCGTATGAGCAAAAGGCTTGCCAAACTGAGTACTCACATCTTTCACCTTTGCAAAAATTTGATCGCCGGTCAATGTAGGTGGTGCTCTATGTTGTTATGAATTTCCATTGAATTCTTGTCTCCACCCACGGTACTGATGATTAGAACTTAAGAATCTACGATGACCAAGAAAGACATTCTTCTGACCAAATTCCAACCGCGTCCAATCTGTGTTTTCTTCACAGATAGGACACGCACATTGACCTTTAATGCTATACCCCGATAGATTTCCGTATGCTGGGAAATCATTAATTGTGCCAAACAACATGCCCCTCAAATTAAAACTTTCTTTCCTATATCCATCATAAACCTCCACACCGTTCAAACTTTTTAAGTCTTCGATTAAAGGTGTCAGGTATACGTCTATGTCGTTTCCTGGTTGTTTAGGGCCAGAAATTAACATAGATAACATCATGTACTTACGCTTCATACATAGCCATGGAGGTAGGTTATAAATCATAAGAATTACAGGCCAGGTGGAATGGGAGATACTTTGCAGACCGTGCGGATTCATTCCATCAGTCGATAATGCCAAGCGAAGGTTTCTAGCTTCTTCTCCAAAATCAGGATAATCATTATCAATTTTCATCCACTGTGGTGAATCTGCCGGATGTCGATACTTCCCATCTATAATTCTATCATCTGCATGCCAAGTAAGGTGTTTCGCATCTGTTTCACTTCGAAACATGCGTCTGAATCTCGGAATTATAGGAAAATACCATAAGACTTTTGCTGGTGACAACTTCTTCTTATACCGAGATACACCGCATTTAGGACACTCGTTTAATGATGCATACTCATTTCGAAACAAAATGCAATCATTTGGACAAGCATGTATCTTATCATAGCTCATACCAATAGAGCATAACATTTTTTTAGCTTCATAGGTTCGATTGGGAAGAACATTATCCTCCGGAAGCATCTCTTGAAGTAGGGCTAACAACTCTGAGAAACTTTTATCCGACCATCCATTACCCGCCTTTAAGTTGTACAACTTTAATACCGCAGACAATCTTGTGAAAGTAGTGCAACCTTTATACAACGGCTTCTCTGCATCGCTTACCAACCTCTCAAACATCTTTGGACAATATTTAAGATCTTCTTCAAGTGCTTCTGCAATATCTTCGACTCGATCACAATCGTATGTATCCCTACCATTGTCCTTTGAAGTAGAGGTCGTATTGTTCTGGGGTTCAACATTCTCGTTACTTATTTCACCGTGTAATGTCCAACATGTGTAACTTCGATCAATTCCATGTCTCATTAAATGAGATTCCAACTGAACCGCGTCAATTCGACGCCCATAACAGCAACCTAAGCAAGGACATGTGATCCTACTGGGGTCTTTGGCGTGTTCAACAGCAAACTTAACGAAGTTCGATACCCCATTCTCGTACTCTTTTGACAATCGATTAACAGACATCCAATTTTTATCCATACTATGAAAGTTAGGCAAAAACAGAGAATACCTGTAAAGAAATCACTAACTTCTAAGAAAGTTGTACAGTAGGATGCTTGGAAACAATCACAACCTTGCTCTTCTCAGGTAACCCCTATAACAGACAATATATACATTTTATTAAAATCATATTAATAATTAACCAAAACAAAAAAACTAGATAATCCAACAAAACAAATCATATTAAAAAAAAGTAGATATACTATAATAAACTATTCTACTATTAAAGCATACTTTCATTAATATGATTTTAAACTATTCTAAACTATTTTATAATGCTCAAAATGACATGGACTAAATTAAAGCACACTCTCATAAATGGTGGAAATGGACTAAATTATTCTAAACTATTCTAAACTATTTCATTAATATGATTTTAAACTATTCTAAACTATTAAATCATACTCTCAAAAATGGTGGAAATGGACTAAATTATTCTAAACTATTCTAAACTATTGCATTAATATGATTTTAAACTATTCTAAATTATTAAAGCATACTCTCAAAAATTTTGGTAATTGACTAAATTATTCTAAACTAATTTATAAAGCTCAAAATTCATTGTGGCATTTCAACAAACACCTTCCATACAAAACTCAAGCCAATATCAAAAG